CTCTCTATTCTGATTTCTTTCATTTCGTGTTCGTGATTCGCTGTCTCCTGCTTCTCGGACGGACTCGTACTATACACCATCGTACTCGCCGTCCTCCAAAACCCCCTACACCATTTTTCCCGGATTTATGCGCTTACTCTACGGCTCCTGACTCCCTCCTGCCTCATTGGGACTGATTAGATCACTGTTCCCATCTCGGCTCTTTCCGGACCGGTTCCCCTCGCTCTGGCTCGGTTATTTCCGGTTCCTCACGTGCCTGCGACGCGCCTGCACACACAGAGCAAGCTCCCTTCTCTCTTTTCCCCCACTTGCTTATTCTCTGTGTGCTGCAGGTATGTACTTAGTTCCTTTTGCTATCTCACTTGCTTATTCTCTGTGTGCTGCAGAGTGCTGCGCTTCGTTCCTAGGCTGCGCATTCGACACCCACGGCCTTGCTCGCTTCTCATGGATGGTGCACCTCGTCGACATGGTTCATCTCGGACTGAACAAGGCCAGCATGTACGCGACTGTCAATAAGGCAGAAGCTGGGAACAAGCCTGCGCCACTCGGGCTTAAAGAACCGGTGCGATTCGGTCGGGCGCAAGGTAACCGGCTTGTACAGAATGAGGTATGCATCCTCAGACTGTTCTCGTGTTACCTGTAGCTCACTACCTTATCAGAAGACCAGTGGCTCGGACGAGGATGACTCGGAGTCCGAAGAGGTATGCAAACACTATGCGATGCCTAGATGCTGAGATAACACAGCTTTCAGGATTCCATTGACGTTGTTCGGGGCAGTACGCGCTTACCTCCTGAGTCGGAAGATGGGATGGTATGTTTATCCTTCTCCTTCTCAATGTGACATTCCGCCCACTGAACTGCGTCAGGATGTTGATCCTGAGCAATATACTCAGAACAGCTGGGACGGAAGATTGCGCAAGGTTCGTCTTATAGGCCGAGCCTGCATTACTGATACTCACAATATGACTGATATATAGGGAGATGGAAATGGAGGCCGGATAGGCTGGAATGGGGGTGAAAGGAGTGGTGGTGGGAATCACGGTGGATCAGGCGGTAGCGGAGATGGA